ACCACACATTGCCCTCAGACATGACATCTCCACTGCCTCCAGCCTTCTCCTCGCTGCAACATTCATCACCCACGCTTCACACCCATATAAGAGCGTTGGTAAAACTATACTCTCATACATTCCCCTCTTTGCCTCCAAGGACAAGTTCTTTGTCTCCACAGACTCCTAAGTGCACCACTCACTCTTTTTCCCTCATCAATTCTATGATTCACCTCATCTTTCATAGACCCATCCGCTGACACGTCCACTCCCAAATATCTGAATACGTTCACCTCCTCCATACTCTCTCCCTCCAATCTGATATTCAATCTTTCATCACCTAATCTTTGTTATCCTCATAACCTTACTCTTTCCTGTATTCACCTTTAATTTTCTTCTTTTGCACACCCTACCAAATTCATCCACAATCTCTGCAACTTCTCTTCAGAATCTCCCAAGAGCACAGTGTCATCAGCAAAGAGCAGCTGTGACAACTCCCACTTTGTGTGTGATTCTTTATCTTTTAACTCCACGCCTCTTGCCAAGACCCTCGCATTTACTTCTCTTACAACCCCATCTATAAATATATTAAACAACCACGGTGACATCACACATCCTTGTCTAAGGCCTACTTTTACTGGGAAAAAATTCCCCTCTTTCTACATACTCTAACTTGAGCCTCACTATCCTCGTTAAAACTCTTCACTGCTTTCAGTAACCTACCTCCTACACCATACACTTGCAACATCTGCCACATTGCCCCCCTATCCACCCTGTCATACGCCTTTTCCAAATCCATAAATGCCACAAGACCTCTTTAGCCTTATCTAAATACTGTTCACTTATATGTTTCACTGTAAACACCTGGTCCACACACCCCCTACCTTTCCTAAGCCTCCTTGTTCATCTGCTATCCTATTCTCCGTCTTACTCTTAATTCTTTCAATTATAACTCTACATACACTTTACCAGGTACACTCAACAGACTTATCCCCTATAATTTTTGCACTCTCTTTTATCCCCTTTGCCTTTATACAAAGGAACTATGCATGCTCTCTGCCAATCCCTAGGTACCTTACCCTCTTCCATACATTTATTAAATAATTGCACCAACCACTCCAAAACTATATCCCCACCTGCTTTTTAACATTTCTATCTTTATCCCATCAATCCCGGCTGCCTTACCCCCTTTCATTTTACCTACTGCCTCACGAACTTCCCCCACACTCACAACTGACTCTTCCTCACTCCTACAAGATGTTATTCCTCCTTGCCCTATACACGAAATCACAGCTTCCCTATCTTCATCAACATTTAACAATTCCTCAAAATATTCCTTCCATCTTCCCAATACCTCTAACTCTCCATTTAATAACTCTCCTCTCCTATTTTTAAACTGACAAATCCATTTGTTCTCTTAGGCTTTCTTAACTTGTTAATCTCACTCCAAAACTTTTTCTTATTTTCAACAAAATTTGTTGATAACATCTCACCCACTCTCTCATTTGCTCTCTTTTTACATTGCTTCACCACTCTCTTAACTTCTCTCTTTTTCTCCATATACTCTTCCCTCCTGCATCACTTCTACTTTGTAAAAACTTCTCATATGCTAACTTTTTCTCCCTTACTACTCTCTTTACATCATCATTCCACCAATCGCTCCTCTTCCCTCCTGCACCCACTTTCCTGTAACCACAAACTTCTGCTGAACACTCTAACACTACATTTTTAAACCTACCCCATACCTCTTCGACCCCATTGCCTATGCTCTCATTAGCCCATCTATCCTCCAATAGCTGTTTATATCTTACCCTAACTGCCTCCTCTTTTAGTTTATAAACCTTTACCTCTCTCTTCCCTGATGCTTCTATTCTCCTTGTATCCCATCTACCTTTTACTCTCAGTGTAGCTACAACTAGAAAGTGATCTGATATATCTGTGGCCCCTCTATAAACATGTACATCCTGAAGTCTACTCAACAGTCTTTTATCTACCAATACATAATCCAAATCATTTGACACCCTCATCACCTTACTCTTTTCTATGTTCACTTTCAACTTTCTACCTTTACACACATTCCCAAACTCATCCACTAACCTTTGCAATTTTTCTTTAGAATCTCCCATAAGCACAGTATCATCAGCAAAAAGTAACTGTGTCAATTCCCATTTTGAATTTGATTCCCCATAATTTAATCCCACCCCTCTCCCAAACACCCTAGCATTTACTTCCTTTACAACCCCATCTATAAATATATTAAACAACCATGGTGACATTACACATCCCTGTCTAAGACCTACTTTTACCGGGAAGTAGTCTCCCTCTCTTCTACACACCCTAACCTGAGCCTCACTATCCTCATAAAAACTCTTTATAGCATTTAATAACTTACCACCTATTCCATATACTTGCAACATCTGCCACATTGCTCCTCTATCCACTATCATATGCCTTTTCTAAATCCATAAATGCAATAAAAACTTCCCTATCTTTATCTAAATACTGTTCACATATATGCTTCAATGTAAACACCTGATCTAAAACATCCCCTACCCACTCTAAAACCTCCTTGCTCATCCGCAATCCTACATTCTGTCTTACCTCTAATTCTTTCAATTATAAACCCTATACCGTACACTTTTCCTGGTATACTCAGTAAGCTTTTTCCCTCTATAATTTTTAGTCTCTTTTGTCCCCTTTCCCTTTATATAAAGGGACTATACATGCTCTCTACCAATCCCTAGGTACCTTCCCCTCTTTCATACATTTATTAAACAAAAGTACCAACCACCCCAAACCCACTATATCCCCCCCTGCTTTTAACATTTCTGTCATGATCCCATCAGTTCCAGCTGGCCTTTAGCCCCCTTTCATTTTACGTAATGCCTTACGTACCTCCCCCACACTTACATTCTGCTCTTCTTCACTCCTAAAAGATGGTATACCTCCCTGACCAGTGCATGAAATTACTGCCTCTGTTTCTTCCTTAACATTTAAAATTTTCCTCAAAATATTTTCGCCATCTACCCAAATACCTCCATCTCCCCATCTACTAACTCCCCTACTCTGTTTTTAACTGACAAATCCATATTTTCCCTGGGCTTCTTAACTTGTTTAACTCACTCCAAATTTTTTCTTATTTTCATTAAAATTTCTTGACAGTGCCTCTCCCACTCTATCATCTGCTCTCCTTTTGGGACTCTCTCACCGCTCTCTTTACCTTTCTTTTACTCTCCATTATACTCTGCTCTTCTTATAACACTTCTGCTTGTAAAAACCTCTCATAAGCTACCTTTTTCTCTTTTATCACACCCTTTACTTCATCATTCCACAATCACTCCTCTTTCCCCCCCCCGCCCCCACCCTCCTATCACCACAAACTTCTGCCCCACATTCTAATACTGCATTTTTAAAACTATTCCAACCCTCTTCAACCCCCCCACTACTCATTCTTTGCACTAACCCACCTTCTGCCATAGTCGCTTATATCTCACCCGAACTTCCTCCTCCCTTAGTTTATACACTTCCACCTCCCTCTTACTTGTTGTTGCCACCTTCCTCTTTTCCCCTCTACCCCCTTACTCTACTGTAGCTACAACAAATAATGATCCGATATATCAGTTGCCCCTCTATAAACATGTACAAACCTGGAGCCAACCCATCAACCTTTTATCCACCAATACATAATCTAATAAACTACTTTCCCTTATGTGCTACATCATACCTTGTATATTTATTTATCCTCTTTTCATAAAATATGTATTACTTATTAACCCAAAATTTTTTTCTACACATAGCTCAATTAAAGGCTCCCCATTTACATTTACCCCTGGCACCCCAAATTACCTACTACTCCTTCCATAACATTTTTACCCACTTTAGCATTGAAATCCCCCAAACCCCCATTACTCTCACACTGATTCAAAACTCCCCACGCATTCACTCAACATTTCCCAAAATCTCTCTCTCTCCTCTACACTTCTCTCTTCTCCAGGGGCATACACGCTTATTATAACCCACTTTTCACATCCAATCTTTATTTTACTCCACATAATCCTTGAATTAATACATTTATATATATATTAATACATTTATATATATATATATTATATATATATATATATATATATATATATATATATATAGGTAGTAGGTTGGTAGACAGCAACCGCCCAGGGAGGTACTACCGTCCTGCCAAGTGAATGTAAAACGAAAGCCTGTAATTGTTTTACATGATGGTAGGATTGCTGGTGTCCTTTTTTCTGTCTCATAAACATGCAAGATTTCAGGTACGTCTTGCTATTTCTACTTACACTTAGGTCACACTACACATACATGTACAAGCACATATATACACACCCCCTGGTTTTCTTCTATTTTCTTTCTAGTTCCTATTCTTGTTTATTTCCTCTTATCTCCATGGGGAAGTGGAACAGAATTCTTCCTCCGTAAGCCATGCGTGTTGTAAGAGGCAACTAAAATGCCGGGAGCAAGGGGCTAGTAACCTCTTCTCCTGTATATATTACTAAATGTAAAAAGGAGAAACTTTCGTTTTCCTTTTGGGCCACCCCGCCTCGGTGGGATGCGGCCGGTGTGTTGAAAGAAAGAAAGATATATATATATATAATATATTATATATATATATATATATATAATTTATATATAATTTATATATATTATATATATATAGATATATCTATATATATCTATCTATATATATATCTATATATATCTATATATATCTATATTATATATCTATATATATATCTATATAATATATCTATATATATATATCTATATACATATCTATATATCTATATATATATCTATATATCTATATATATATCTATATATCTATATATCTATATATCTATCTCTCTACCTCTCTATCTCCCTCCCTCTCTATCTCCCTCCCTCCCTCCCTCTCAACTCCTCAACCTCTCTCCACCTTTACCTTTCTCTCTCAGATAACCTTCATTATGGCAATTACTGAAATGTTAAATACAGATATATGTACTTACCATCAGGGTCAGGATCACCCTCGGCAGCGACTTGCTCCTCACCGTCTCCTCCTCCCGCTGGGTTGCCTGCAGGCTCATCCAAGTTGGGGGGGATGCCATCTACTAGGTACTGGACGGCTGTATAGGGATTGTTGAAGCTCGCCCTAAGCGCTCGTTCAACCTGAGACCGACAACACCTTACCCTTAGGAAATGGCACTGAATTACCTCAGTGATCTGAATTTTAACAAACTATTAACATCTTCACCTTTTCACTAATTAAAAATCTATGAAATATCAAAGGTCAAAAAACGAAATCAACAGTAACACATTTTTGCCGAATACAGAGTATTATGAAGTTAATTCTGGCTATAATTTAAGAGGTTACCCATGAATATTTGTTCTTTAGCTAGAAGTAACAATAGTTGTTAAGTGGCCACACAATTACCTCAATTTTATTTCAACTAGTACAAATTTTGTATAACCCACTGTGGTGAATAAAGGATTATTTGAACAGAAAGCCAAGTTTCTATAGGGAATAAGGTAAAATAGTAGGATGACTGAGAAGTGAAGTCACACACAAGTGTCAGTGACTGGCCTAATGGGTCCTAATGTATATCAATATTCAAATGGAATCACGTCATATATTTTCTTTGCAACTAATGCTGAAACAATAAGATTACTAATTAAAGAGTATAGAAGAAAGCTGTACAAAAACCTGGACAGATGAGATTTTACTGTGCCAATTAAAAAAATATTTACTCCTATTTTTTACCAAACTGTATCAAACCAATACAAAGCCACTACAACACCAAGCTGCCATATATTTAAAGTTAATGATGGGGTTGTAAAAGAGGTAAATGCTAGGGTGTTGAGTAGAGGGGTGGGATTAAATTATGGGGAATCAAGTACAAAATAGGAGTTGACACAGTTACTTTTTGCTGAAGATATTGTGCTTTTGGGAGATTCTAAAGAAAAACTGCAAAGGTTAGAGGAAAAGTTTTGAAGGGTGTACAAAGGTAGAAAGTTGAAAGTGAACATATATAAGAATAAGATGATGAGGGTATCAAATGATTTAGATAAAGAAAAATTGGATATCACATTGAAGGGAGGGAGTATGGCAAAGGTGAATGTTTTCAGATATTTGGGAGTTAACCTGTCAGCAGATGGGTTTATGAATGATGAAGTTAACAATAGAACTGATGAAGAAAAAAAGGGGAGTGAATAACAAAAAAGGCACAATACCGTGACTGGAACGATACACAAATAACCCGCACATAAAAGAGAGAAGCTTACGACGACGTTTCGGTGTGATTTTGTCAATGGTCCAAGTCGGACCGAAACGTCGTCGTAAGCTTCTCTCTTTTATGTGCAGGTTATTTGTGTAAAAGGGGAGTGGTGTGTTGAGGTGTATGTGGAGACAAAAAACGTTATTCATGGAGGCAAAGAAGGGAATGTACGAGAGCATAGTGGTACCAAAACTCTTATATGGGAGTGAGCACGGGTTGTAAATGCTGCAGCGAAGAAGTGGCTGGAAGTAGTGGAGGCAGAATGGGGGCACGTCACAAGCAGCTTCAAGTTGGAAAAATTCAGATTCAGGAAGGATATAGGAAAGCACTGGTTTGGTAATAGAGTTGTGGATGAGTGGAACAAACTCCCGAGTACAGTTATTCAGGCTAAAACGTTGTGTAGTTTTAAAAATAGGTTGGATAAATACATGAGTGGGTGTGGGTGGGTGTGAGTTGGACCTGACTAGCTTGTGCTGCTGGGTCTGGAGCAGTGCTCCATCCTTGAGTGGAGGTGACCAGACTGGGTGGGTCAGTGGGCTAATCCAGGGGGGGGGGGGGTCATTGGTCTAATCAAGGGGGAGACATGGACCTGATCCACATGGGTCAGTAGGCCTGTTGCAGTGTTCCTTCTTTCTTATGTTCTTATGTTCTTAAAGGCAATGTGTGGTGTAAATATTATGCAGAGAATTTGCAGTGTGGAAATTAGGAGGTGTGGAGTTACTTAAAGTATTAGTCAAGAGGACTGAAGAGGGGTTGTTGAGGTGGTATGGTCATTTAGTGAGAATGGAGCAAAGTAGACTGACTTGGAGAGCATCTAAATCTGTAGGGGAAGGGAGGAAGGCGGGGTAGGAGGCCGTCCTCGAAAAGATTGGAGAGAAGAGGTAAAGGAGGTTTTGCAGGCAAGGGCTTGGACTTCCAGGAAGCGTGCAGGAGCGTGTTAGATAGGAGTGAATGGGGATGAATGGTTTTTGGGACCTGACGAGCTGTTGGAGTGTGAGCAGGGTAATATTTTGTGAAGGGATTCTGGGAAACCGGTTAGCCGGACTTGAGTCCTGGAAATGGGAAGTACAATACCAACACTTTCACCCTTAACCCTTTCAGGGTCGAGAGGCCCTCTCCTAAACTCTTTCTCTGGGTCAAAAATTTTTCGGAAAAAAAATTTTTTTTTTTTCTTGTGAAATAATTAGAGAATCTTTTCCCGATCATAATGACACCAAAAGTATGAAATTTGATGGAAAACTTATGGAATTATGCTCTCGAGAAGTTAGTGGTCTTGATGATGTTTACGCATCTGCGATTTCGCCCACTTTGAGCCCTATTTTCGGCCAATTTCAGTGTACTAGTCGACAAAAATCATGTCTTTCACTAGAACTCCATTTTTTCTATCGAATGAGTAAAAGAAACCACCCATTTACCAATTTCAACTATCCAATAATGTGGTCAGAAATTGGCAATTTTCCCAATTTCACACAAATTTCAGAAGATGCCAATTTCCAAACAGTGTCCAGAATAAGCAAGATAGACATTCCTGGCACTAAAATAACATTTTCTCTCTTCACTAGTCATGTCCCCAGGCCCCGCTGACATCTCTCTTGCTTTCCACTTTGAATTTTTATTCTTACAAAAAATACAAGATTTACTGTTATGCAGACTACTGCATTAGTATAGAATTGGTGTAGAAATGGTATAAATAATAGTGCACTTGTGAAAGAATATTAGACTTGCCAGTTGACGTATATTGGACGCTTCGCATGATTTGTTTACTTTTGAAATTTGGTAAAAGTCAAACATTTCTGCTACTTTGAGCTCAATTTCAAGGTACTTTTCATTATGAAACCAATCAAAATCATCTCAATTTCTGTAATATCTCTTCCATTATATAAAATGAGACCAGGAAAACTAGAATACAACCATAAATACCACACGAAAATACACTGCAAAGTCGCTGTTTTAAACCAAAAACATGGTCGGAGTTTTTTTTTCTCATTATGCACTGTGCTGCAGGATTTTTTTTATACTGTGCACACTGACCACATAGACCCATTCTTTCATATGTAGGCCTACCAGCTTTCTCTCACTAGATTTGAAGGCGCTAGAATTTAGGCGTTATAGTACGTCAATAACCCTGGTGCGTAAGCCGTACTAGTACGTCGGAAACCCTGAAAGGGTCAAGAGTCTAGAACCCCAATGTAAAACTTTTCCACAGGGTCCAAGAATTAAAAAAAAAAATTATTTCTTCTTATGAAATGGAAGAGAATCTTTTTCTGAAGGTTATAAAACAAAAAGTACAAAATTTGATGGAAAATTGACGAAATTACGCTCTTGCGAATTTTGCTACGTCGGTGGTATTAGTGCATCAGCGATTCTGCCCACTGACTCCCATTTTAAGCCAATTACATTATTCCAGTCAACCAAATTCTTAGTTATTTTGCTAGTATTACTATTTTATCAACTGAGCACAAGAAATCACCCAATCAACTATTTCAACTACCCAATAAAATGATTGAAAAAGGGATCCAGAATAAACAATGCAGGTATTCCTGGCACTAAATTAACATTTCATCTGTTTATCAGTTACGTTTCCAGGCTTTACAAATGAATTCCACTGATTTTTTATTCACAATGAATTTTTATTCACACCATAAAATAGAAGATTTACTGATATGCAATATTGTAAAAATTTTGTAAATAATATCAGTGCATTCGAGAACACCCATTAGACCCACCAGCTGACGTGTACTGGACGTGTGATGTGATTTGTTTACCCTTGAACATCGACAAAAATCAAACGTTTCTGCTACTTTGAGCTCAGTTTCAAGCCATTTTCAATACTAAAACCAAAGAAAATCATCTCTATCTCTGTAATACATCTTCAATTCTATCAAATGAGGCCAAGAAACCACAAATACAACTGTAAAAAACATACAAAAATACACCACAATTTTGCCATTTTAATCCAAAAACATGGTCGCAGTTTTTTTTCTCATTATGCACTGTGTGCTGCAGGATTTGTCTTATGTGGTGCACACTTACCACAGACGCAGTCTCTCATATCTAGGCCCAAATTTTCCACTCACAGCTTATCTGAGTGAGATGAGCTCATGGCATAGAACTACGGCTTGGACCCAGGCTTCAAGACCGTAGAACTGCGGGATGGACCCTCAAATTGTTAAAGGAGGAGTTAGGGATATTGGTAGTTTGGAGGGACATCTAAGCTGTCGCATCTGAGTGCCTCTACCAAGAGAGTGATTATGTGTGAGTGATGGTGAAAGTGGTGAAAGACGAAAGTTTTTTTCTTTCTTTTTGGGTTACCCTGCCTCAGTGGGAAACGGCCAATGTATTAAAAAAAAAAAAACTGAAAAAAGCACCAGAAAAACTACAAGAACCTACATTACAATCCGGAGTCTTGATTAACCCTTTCAGGGTCCGTCCCGTAGATCTACGGCTTTACGGTGAGTGTCCAAACCGTAGATCTACGCCATGAGCTCAGCTCACTCTGATAAACTGTGAGTGGTACATTTAGGCCTAGATATGAGAGAATACATATATGTGGTATGTGTGCACCACATAAAACAGATCCTGCAGCACACTCTGTATAATGAGAGAAAAAAAATGAAATCATGATTTTTCGATTAAAACAGCAACTTTGCAGCGTTTTTTCGTATGTTTTATATAGTTGTATTTGCGATTTCTTGGTCTCATTTGATAGTATGGAAGACATATTACAGAAATAGATATGATTTTGATTGGTTTTAGGAACGGAAATGGCTTGAAACTGAGCTCAAAGTAGCGAAAATGTTAAATTTTTGCCGATATTCAAGAGTAAACAAACGACCTCACACATCTAATACACATCAGCTGGTGGGTCTAATATACATTCACAAATATGGTGAT